CTTGCTCACTACATGTAAGTTTCTGCTGCTTATGAACTGTGCATCTAGCACTCAGCTATATTTTTGGCGGAATTCACCCCTAGAGAGGGTTATTTTGATCCTAACAAATCCTGATTCCCAACAGTGTGACCAATGACTTGTTTACTCCTGTTGTGGATTCTCCATGGTGTGCCAGTTCTGGGTAGTAGCACCCGTGTGGGAACTTTAACATTGAACTAGTTCATTGTATATCTCTGTGAAAAGTTCTTCACTCAGGTTATAGCCATGGCCCATACCCAAAGTTTGAGCAACTTTTTCTTAACCAAGCAGACTTCTGACAACAGTTTTTGAATACCAGTAGAACATAAAAGTGTCAGATTTTCTGCACCATTAATCCTTAACGTATTTTTGTATAATATCCACTCCTTTTAAAAATGTGTTAAAATTAAACTTACATTTAAATCTCTTTAAGCTCCTGACAGTTATCCCATCCCGACTGGTTGTTAAAAACAAGGAAGTCCCAGACTTAGTTCTGCCTTTTATTATTTAATTTTGGATATCTGTGCAAATTTTTGTTCATCCTAGAATATTTCCACTCTGTTGGCGCTATGATCAGAGACTTTTTATCCCACCTCCCTGGGTCAGTTTGTTTTAACTCAGTTTTTTCCAGGGTTAAATAGATAGGTTTAGCTTGTTGTTTGTTTCTGCTGCCTTGGAACTTCCAGTTCCTTGTATGAGGTTTTATGTGATGTTGCAAAAGATGTGTGTGTATCTTCTCTTGTGAGATGGGAAGAGGGGGAAGGATCTGAAAAAGGGAATAATATACACCAAGGAAATAAAGCACAATTCTCTAAGAAGAGGAAGGAGCGAGTGGATGAAGAAACATCTACATGCATCGATTCTGGGAATAAAGGCCACCTGGAAAGAGAAAACTCAAGATATCTCCGTTTGGTTTTGGAGCATTGATATGCAGAAACAAATGAAACAAAAAGTCATAGAAACTGTCAGTACTTTCAGCCAGTTCGGTTTGGTCTTAGATTGAATAGCAGTGATTTTGAACCTGTGGGTCCCCAGATGTTTTGGCCTTCAACTTCCAGAAAGCCTAACAACTGGTAAACTGGCTGGGATTTCGCGGAATTTTATGCCCAAACCCCTAGGGACCCACAGGTTGAGAAGCACTGGAATGTTCTTTTTCTTTCTCTGAAAAATTATATGCAAATAATAATAATAATAAAACCTGAGTGAAGTTTGGCACAGGATTTGGGGAATTGCACTTTGTGAGAATACTGACTGAAAAGTGAAGAAAAAGATATAGCATATAGAGAGACATGTTATTCTCCTGGTAATCCGGAACACAGGAAATGACAAGACTTTAATACGCAGAATTGAACATCTGGAGTTCAAAGTTACGTGGAAGACAGAGGAGATTCACATGAAACGAGAAGTTAGAATTAAGCTCAGGACTTTGGAAAAGGATTTGTCTCTCTTCAATGGATTGCCTGTATACCTGTGCAACATGAGTGTTCTAAATGTAAACAGGGTGTGGTTTTCACCATTGTATATGCTTCTGCCAACCTAGCAGTTTGAAAATATGCAAATGTGAGTAGATCAATAGGTGCTGCTTCTGCAGGAAGGTAACGGCACTCCATACAGTCATGCTGGCCACATGACCTTAGAGGTTTCTATGGACAATGCCGGCTCTTTGGCCTATAAATGGAGATGAGCACCACTCCCCAGAGTTGGACATGACTAGACTTAATGTCAGGGAAAACCTTTACCTTTACCTTTTATATGTTATTTTAAAGGCTTCTGTTTAGTTTTCTTGAAATCTCATCACTGGAGTGTTGGAAAACATGATCAAAAAATTATATGATCAAAAAATGATGATACAAGGAATGGAAAACCTGGCACAAAAATCTCATCATTTGGATGGCACAATCATGGCAAAGATTTGCCAAGCTTTCAGAGACTTAAAATAGACACGTGTTCACTTTCAACACTGTAATATAAACAAATTCCTAGTGGGTTTCCCGACCAGGTATCCTGAATGTTAGTCCATTGCTGGAGCAACTACATCATGCTGGTTGAACCAAAGAAATACAAAATAAGTACTGGGAGAGTGCAATCCAATCATAGGATTATAGAGTTGGAAGAGACCATAAAGGCTATCCAGTCCAACCCCCTTCAGGCAGGAATACACAATCTGAGCACTCCTGACAAATAGCCATCCATCAGCTGGTTTCCACGTCTACAGGTTAGAATCCACATTAATTCCATTGGACTACGCGGAACAATGTTTTGAGATTTCCCAAAGAAATAAAACTAATGGAGCTGCCTCCATTGCTTTCACTAAAATAAAAATGGCAAACGTGAAAGTAGCAAATGAAATGTGGTTAAAGGAAGATTTTTCAATTGCAGCTCTTGATTTCAGTTTTAGTTTCCAGTAAATGTAGATACATTACCATAATTTAAAGCTAAGTATATATGAAGATTGTTCTTTATTAGCAGTAAATGATATTTTGAATTCACACATTTATGTGCAGGAATAGATTATCCTTTCGTGGATACATAAATGCATGGATTCAAAAGAAGTGAAGAATTAAACAAATTCTGGGCAGAACAATCAACTTAACCTTTTCCTTTAAAAAAGCTCATGTTAAGATATTTTGAAATGAAGTTCACTGTTCATGTAAACATAACCTAAGGACATGTCATTTGTGTAAATACAAATTGTGCACACTGAGGATTTAAAATTGTTATTTCTGTTTGCTTTGCTCTGTTATGTATTTTGAAATTATGGCCTCAAGCATGCTTTGGAAATGTACTCAAAATGTTCAGAATCTTTGTAAATGTAATCAATGTAATAAAATAAATAAAAATCTAATTTATTTTCAAGACTCTGTAGAAGTTACTGTACATGCTTCATCCATAAAAGGCACAGTTCCTTGTAATACTGTCTCACTGTTGACAATTCTCAAATGTTTTTGCACCTTGTTTTATTGCTTGCAAAAGATGATGCATCGCCTGTTGAGTCAGATGACGATTTCCCATCTCAGGTGTCATGTAAGTAAATGGTTGTCCTGCTCTTTTTCATGGGGGGGGGGGGGGGGTAGAGTTGCATTTGTTCTGGTGTTTCAAATAGTTGATCATTGTATTTTTTTTTCTTTTGACAAAACTTCGTATTGAAACATATGATTGTTTTTATTGGGTTAGTTGCTATTGTCTTATTTCCATATTTTGCTAACTTTATTGTTTTCTGATATTGGCGGTTTTTTTTCTTCTTCATGCTATAAGTTGTCATAACTAAAGCATGACTAACTTAGTATGACTGTGTTCGTATCTCCAGGAAAGGTAAAAGGTTTTCTTTGGGACTATAATTGACTAAGCTATACCTTCCAGATGTAAATGTACACACACTTCCTCAGAAATTTAATGTTTGCATCTTGAGAATGGGGCCTATGTCTTTACAAGAGACAGAGGCATCTTGGATACCAAAATGAGTTTTTTTACTGCTGCTAACGTTTGCTCTAAGAGATGCTTAAAGGGAGGAGTATGTTGACACGAGAGAGTCCTTCACAATCAGGCCCGAAGCCAGGATTTTGATTCGGGTGTGTGTGTGTGTGTGTGTGTGTGTGCTGAGTTTGATTCGGGGAGGGGGGGGGGGCTGAGTCTGAGTGAAAGAGGGTCTACCCTAGCAAACCTTTTGTATCATTACCCCAATACCCCCATGCATATGGGATATATTGAGTATGGTGATCAGATCATGATATGAATAAACAAACAGTTTAAATAATGCACCAGTAAGCCTTCTTGCAGACTACCCTGAGAATTTCTGGGGGGAGAGGGGGGCTGAAGCCCCTCAACCCCCCCTCCTGGATACATGTCTGCTCACAATACAGCTAAAGGACACATGGCAAATACTAGCCATTAATGGCAAGGAAGGGAAACTACAGAAAGATAGCTCCTCTCCGACGGAAATGCGGGTGAAGAAAAATTAGGTCCCTTGTTAATAAGCCCAGTATCTTTGCCCTTGCGTTCATTCCTGCCTTAGTGAGCAATTGGACAGATTCTTCCCTGTACCCTTTCCCATTATATGCCCATTAGAGGCAAAAAAATTACTCATTTGGCGAAGCCGAAGATATTTGCATGTGCCCAGGAACCTTGTAAAACATGGGTATTTGGCATTTGAATTGTGATTGGCAGTAAAATATCTAGTGTGTACTATATTCAATCATCTAGTCATATGGCAAATATGGTTAAAATATAAATTTTTCCCTCCAAAGCTATAAAATCCACAGTAGACTCTTATTTTACGTCCTTCTGTTTCTCCTTTCAGCTGTGTAACTCAGCACATTGCTTGTGCCCTGTGATTATTTATTTGTATATATTTTCTTATTTCTTTGCTATAATAAACTAGAATTAACTTCTTTCCACTTCTTTTATTCTTATGTGCACAGTTATTGATGCAGAAGGGATTTACTGTGCATAGACACCCAGTGGAATAATACAGGAAGAAAATATTTTGCTGATGGGTTTTCTGTGTAGTATCTGCTTGTAAACTAAGGACTTGTGGTTTATGGGACATTGGCTGGTGATATTGCTCTTGACATCATTAAAAGGCCGTGATGCAAGGCAATGCAAGTTATATGATTTTGCTTCTGTATTAGCATGATTCTATTGGATAAACATGGACTTGGTAATTCACCTTGCAGAGCAATGATAAACATTTTGAGTCAGTGGTCATACTTTATTACCTTGTTAGTACACTTTTACATTCCAGAGATGTGAACTTTGGCTTTTTGGACTTCCATGTTAAATAGAAAAGTAGATGTATGTTGTATGGAACCACTGCTGTTTCTACTGTTTTTACTGTTTGTGAACCGCCGTGAGTCGCCTTCGGGCTTGAGATACAGCGGTATATAAGCAAAGTAAATAAATGTAATGAGCATTTCAAAACCAGACTTGGATTCCCTCAAGGGAAATAAATGTGTAGAAGTAATTTCATGGGGTATTTTTTTATTTTGTATCAAAAGCATTGCACAAATTAGTATAAACTGATAAAAATAGAAGGAGCACAAATAGCTAAATCTCTTTTGACCAAAAATGGGCAACAGCAACCGCATTGTCTGTAGCTTCCAGCAATTCTTCCTCTGTACATAAGGCAGGATATAGAGGACAAGCATACAGATGTGGAGCTGTCTGTTCTGCTCCTCAGTCACACAAGGTGGAGGATTCTTTTAGGTAGTGCCATTTTGCCAGGTTGTTTTTGATCTGCCCACTCCACTTCTGAGTCTGTTCAGGGACTTCCAAGTTGTCCATTCTTGTTTTGCTCCTGGAGGCAGACCCTGGTGGGGAGCCATCCAATTGGGATTTCCTGGTTTAGCTGCCCAGAGGGATACCCTTGCTGTTGCTGGGGGGACATTAAGAGGAGTAGTGGTTCTCATGAAGCTTTTCCTTGATTTGAGTCTACTGGGAGGAGGTTGACAGCCATGCAGTGGATGGTTTTCACGGTGTTCAACCTTATTTCTCTCACAGTTTGCAGCAAATTCCCGTCGCACATGGGGGGGGGGCAATGCCAGCTAGCTTGTAGAGTTTATCAACAGGTGTAGGTTTAAGACATCCTGTGATTATTCTGCATGTTTCGTTCAATGCTATGTTCACCTGCTTTGCATGGGCAGACCTATGCCAAACAGGGCAGGCATACTTAGGGAAGGCTGAGCGAAGGAAAAGAGATGCTTTTGAGCTGTGGTGTTGGAGGAAAGTTCTGAGAGTGCCTTGGACTGCGAGAAGATCCAACCAGTCCATACTCAGGAAATAAAGCCCGATTGCTCACTGGAGGGAAAGATACTAGAGACAAAGTTGAAGTACTTTGGCCACATCATGAGGAGACAGGAAAGCCTAGAGAAGACAATGATGCTGGGGAAAGTGGAAGGCAAAAGGAAGAGGGGCCGACCAAGGGCAAGGTGAGGATGTTATTGTGTGCAGCTACTTTGTGCTTAGTGTTCATACAGTATTTCTTAACCCCTGTTTCATGGGGTTACCTATTGAAAGGCCTGTGAAAGGGAAATGGCAGATGGGAGTAATTTAAAACAACAACACACCATGCTTTGAATAATCCTTTTATTCCCATCCTCTGTAATTCAGTACATTCTTGCATAGGATTATCATGAAATTATCTCGAATTATCTGCTTTACAAAATGCCAATTATATATTTTATCATCTTTCGGCAGCGCGGCTGCGTAGGCAAAAAGGCAGAGGAACTTCCCCATCGAAAAAGGAGGGAAAGGAAAGCAAGGAGGCAGCACTCGCCAGACATAAAAAACTGTTGGACGAGAGGAAGAAAAAAGAAGGGAAGTTCAAAGACGATGGATCCCGGCGAAAGCCTGAGAAGAGTAGCAGTGTGGCAGATCTCCCTTATACCGGGAACTATAGTTACATTTAAATGCTGTGGCTTTGTCCTGATGTAATTTGATTTGGGAAATGCTATATAAGGAAGGTAGGAAAAAGGATACATAGAAGATAAAACAGGAGCAGTCTTACTGTATGTGCTGAAAACCACTTACTGCGGTTATGAAGCAATGCCCAGTAATCCCCTTCATGGATTAAGTACTGAAATGTCCAGCTTTCAAAAGTCAATTCGATACAGTTATGAAACAAATCCTTTTCACATTGTAAAAAAAGAGAAAGAAATGTATCAACAGTTCACCAGGCATTGGCTTGGGATTCCGTGGTGGTCTTCTAAAGCTGGAGTATAGGATTGGAAAGGTCCTCTGTATTTTTGAATCACTATTCTATCTTCCTATATATTCTCCCTTTTAGCATGGTATTATGTGTAAATAGGGTCATTGCTTCTTGGTTGTTGTCTGGTGTGCTACTCAGTCACCATAACAGAATTTGCCTGACAACTGGAGATACCGTTTCCTTGGAAAGACAAGATGGTTGTCTTTTTTATCTGTGTCTCAAGTTATAGAGTTATACAAGTTACCCAAGTTATATATAACTATTTTTGGTTGAAAGTACACTTGAGCAAAAAGTGGGTGGGAGAGAATCTTCTTGTAGATTCTGTGGGGATATGAATAGATCTGATCCAGTAAGGTCCTAGACCAGTGGTTCTCAACCTGTTTGTCCCCAGGTGTTTTGGCCTCCAACTTCCAGAAACCCCAGCCTGTTTACCAGCTGTTATGATTTCTGGGAGTTGAAGGCCAAAACATCTGAGGACCCACAGGTTGAGAACTACTCTCCTAGATACATTCAGTTCCCAGTCCTTAATCCTGTGAGCTTTTATTGACTTCAGGATCAAAACCCTACCAATATGAGAGATGTAACAGAAGTTCAGTTGAAAAAAATGTAATATTATTGTTGTCAAAGGCTTTCACAGCCGGAATCATTGGGGTGTTGTGTGGTTTCTGGACTGTATGGCTGTGTTCTAATAGCATTTTCTCCTGACGTTTCACCTACATCTGTGACTGGCAGCTTCAGAGGATCCTCTGAATATGCCAGCCAAAGATGCAGGCAAAATGTTGGGAGAAAATGCTACTAGAATACAGTCATACAGCCCAGAAACCACACAACACCCTGGTAGTAGTATTGGTTGAAGCCATTGTTTTTAAGAATGGGCTCAGCATGTTTGGTTCCTCAGCAAACGTAGATTGGTGACCGGTGCAGTTACTGGTCCCACTGACGGGTGCATGGGATCAGCAAGTGCTCCTTTCTGCTTGCAACTGGGTGTTAAACAAAGTGAGCCCAGAATTTCTGGACCACAAACCAGCAGAGTTGTCATGCTGGAGCCTGCTGATTGTGGTCCCAAAATGGGAAAGCATGTTGTTTTGTGTCTTATAATGCAATAAATTTTAAATGTTCCAAAATAAAAATGTATTTATGAAACAATATATTATTGCTCCCTGTTTTAGCAGAGGATATAAATCCGAAACAACAGTTATATTTATCTTTCTCTACAGTGCAATCTACTTAGAAATAAGCCCCATTGATTTTTATGGGGATTTCTCTCAAATGAGTTTTGATTGCGACCTATGTAAGTATTGTGCTGTGTGAAACAGTGTCAAAGAACAGCAATTTCTTCAAGCAGCATTAAAGATATATTTTAATGCATATTTCTGTGTGAACACACACTCCTGTTTTTGCCTCCAAAGCTGGAAGTTAACTTCTGATTAATTTTGGCATAAGGGGGAAATGCACAAAACAAAACGCAAACCAAAACCCCTTCCGTTTTTGAGGAGGTATGGCTTATAGCAGATCGTAGGAGAGTGGAACAAAACCAGTCTCCATACTGGATGCCCGTTCCTGGTATTCTGATACCATTATCTCCTGAATCTACTGAATCATTTGCATGGTCGTCATTTATAGAAAGAGAGTGCTTCACAAAGAAATGCTCCCATTTGGTAATACTAGTAGAACGATGCTCATGCAGATGGACCTCATTTCTGGAAATTCTGTGGCTTTGATTTCTTGACCTGTTATCCTCTGTCATGAGTAGTGGGCTAAGAGTTGCTCCTTGAACAATGTCAGGTATCTGAACTTGGTTTTGGGAGTTCCTATTTAAAAGGTGGGCCAGACTGGGAGAACCGCCTTATTTTATGAAATCCTTGAGTGCACTGGAATTGGGCCTGTACATAATTGTGTTGGGTGAAGAATTAAGCTGCTGGATGCATGTATATTTTCCCCAGAGGATTCTCCTGTGTGCTGATCTGGTGTATTACAATTCAGTTAATCAATGTTCATTGAAACAAGCGTAGGAACCTTTTACAGCGGGGGCCCAGTTCAAAGGGACTTAACTGTTCTCTTTTTTTGCAGGCTTTTAGTATACTTTACATACAAGTAAGCAAACTGACTTGGAAATGATGGCTGAGTCAAATGTGATGCCTTCTTTCCCTCTCATCTCTGTATACAAGTTATTAACCATGTGAGAGCTCCATGTTGTGGGAGTAACACAAAGCTCTGAACCCTGTGCTAACCCCATCCATGCATGGCTGCTGCTTGGCTTGCAGTATTCTGTTTGCAATTGAGCATAAAACAAAGCCAGGGCAGAACGCCTGGGCCACAAACCAGCAGAGAGTTGTCATGCTTAATGCTGCTGATTGTGGTACTCTGCAATCTTGTATATGCATACACTGGCATGCAGGGCAAAATCTTATGCAAAACACCACTATGCATGCATGCTGATGTCCCACAACTTTAAATCAGTCAATTGTGATGATAGCATTCTATCAGCGGGAACTCCAAATGTGTATATCCAGGTGCCACAAATGCATATTTTTCACCAGGCATCCAGACCATGTATAGAAAATATGTATGTTTTTATATCACGTATACAAAAGATGCTATGTGAATAATCCGTGCCTCCTAGTTTGAGCATTATTGGGGTTGTAAACACAGTGGTTCCACCCTATCTGCAGGGATGTAGTTTAGGATATGCTTTGGGTATGAAAAAAATGTGCATCATGTCCCATATTCCTTCATGGCAGCTATGTGTTCACATTCACATTGCTGCCATTTACCAATATGGAGTGGGGTCAAACCATGTTTGCTGTTTTCATGGGTCTGGATTTAAAATATATATATATATGGAACGCTTCACGAATTTGCGTGTCATCCTTGCGCAGGGGCCATGCTAATCTTCTCTGTATCGTTCCAATTTTAGTATATGTGCTGCCGAAGCAATCCATGGATTTCATGGATCCAGAGGCCCAATGTATAGTTAGTTATACTAAAGACTATGCTCAATTGAACACAGACATACTTATCAACATTCTTTGAGGAGTGGCCAGTACCTACTGAATAGTCATGCTGATTCTGGTTGTGGAACATATTTTGTCACCACAACAAGTCAAAGATCTTCTCCATGCTATTATTATATGAAGGTTAGTGCATACTTTAATATTCCCAATGATAGCCTGATTAAGTTAGGTGAAAGCAAAAGAAATCAAACAGTATCTTGTTGCAAGTGGCAACCACCTAGATTTAAGTCTCCAGCCTTTTTTATTTATACAAGGATTCAAAGAACATAGTTCAACAGTGCAAGATAGTTACAAGTACCTTGGTAACCAAAAGAAAAATATAAATGGCCAAGTGTGCCAATAAGTGAGATAAATCTTAGCTTATCAGATAGAACTGCTTCTTCTTGTTTTTGAAAGACAAGGTGTATTCTAAATATATCATACTTTGAACTCCCTAACAAGCCCACCAGAAAACAACAGGTTGTTTGTCATTTGTAAAAGATATATATTAGTGCTCTTAAAGCCTCTATTAACTCTTGCGCTCTGCTGAAACATATTATGGCACAAAAAGAATATGTTGTACATCCACAATGTTGGTTTCTAGTTGACAGTTCTGCATGGGTCCTGGGTGCTAAGTTCTTTTCTCCAGTTACTAAATCTGCCAGGAAACATAAAGACTATGGCTTAATGCATTTAAACCTTGAAGTAGAGCACTGCCATTCTGATTTTAAAAAGGAATGGCCTTTTTTTAATTAAACTGCAAAATATTTTAATTCCCAAAGCATGAGATATAGCACCTACCATGCTTGTGGGATTTGAAATATTTTGCAGTTTTTTAAAAAGCATGAGATATAGCACCTACCAGGAGCTGTGGTGGTGCAATGGTTTAAACCCTTGTGCTGGCTGAACCGCTGACCTGAAGGTTGGCGGTTTGAATCTGCAGGATGGGGTGAGCTCCCATCTGTCAGCTCCAGCTTCCCATGCAGGGACATGAGAGAAGCCACCAGGATGGTAAAACATCCAGGCATTCTTGCAGTTGGCCAATTCTCTCACACCAAAATTGACTTGTAGTTTCTCAAGTCGCTTCTGACACGTGGGGGGGGACGACACTCATATCTAGTCGCTTAGACTCAAATGACATCTGACAGCATCAGAAGCATTTAAGTCTGGGTCTTTCCCACTGTGTAGAAAAGCAGAGGAAGGAATGGTCAGATCGTCAAGTAAGAGTGACATCTAGGCATATGGAACTCAGCCTGCTTCCTTCGCAAAGCTAGTTTCCTAACACTGTCAGCTTTTTGGTCTGGGAATCTTGTTGGAGGAATCATACGATCAAACTCGAAAAAGTTTGGATTGTTTGGACCACAGAACCCAGGTTCACTTGGACCAGCCCAAACAGTGGCCCTCCTGGCTGAGGGATTTTGTAGGTTGTGGTCCAAAAAAATAACTTTCCAAGATCTGAATGTCTGGAGCTATATTAGTGGGCCATCTGTTTTCCTTATGTGCATACTGCTTTTGCTATACCAATTTTACCCAAATGAAAACACTGTTCTATTTTAGATGTGATTTTGGCAGGCCTACATTTTTGAACCTGACACACTGAAGGCATTACACATAGTTGGGAGTCTTAAATAAGGTCCTGGATTGTGTTAGTTTACAGCTCTCCAGCAGGTTAGCAAAACATTTCATTAATGGGTAAGAAAATGATAGCTGTTCCATTTTCTCCTGTGTTGCATATGACAGTTTGTTTCTGTAAACAACACTATTTGACTGTGACAGTCTACTTTTCTGGTATTTGAGCTTACATTCAAAGGAGGCAAGGTTTACTTTTCACACCTCATTTGTATTTAGAATTATTTTAAGAATGGTTGAACTGTTAAAACAGTGGATGTAGCTCTTAATGAGACATGCTGCGTTATCACAGGATGCCTACGCCCCACACTACTGAAATTATACTATTTAGCCGGTATTGCACCACCTGACATCTGTCGGGAAGTAGCAGCCAATAATGAAAGGCCAAGGCATTGACATCTCTAGCCCATTCTCTGTTCAGTTATCAGCCAGGGTGCCAATGACTTAAATCAAGAAACAGCTTCCTGAGATCTACAGAGATACTCGCAGGAACACCTCAGCAAGTGAGAGTCCAAAAGTGGCAGGTTAAAACCTGGAACCTCAATCAGTGGCTGATACCAAATGAGAAACTCCCCCCTGGGCACACAGAAGACTGGGTGACTTGGAAGGCGCTGAACAGACTGCGCACTGGCACCACAAGATGCAAAGATAACCTTAAGAAATGGGGCTACAAAGTGGAGTTTGCGACATGCAAGTGTGGAGAAGAGTAAATCACAGACCACCTACTACAATGCAGCCTGAGCTCTGCCACATGCACAATGGAGGACCTCCTTACAGCGACTCCAGAGGCACTCCAAGTGGCCAGCTTCTGGTCAAAAGAAATTTGGCATAATGCCAAGTTTTAATTTTGTTTGTGGTTTTCTAAATACATCATAACTGTATTCTCAATTTGCTTCTGAAATGATAAATAAAAGATTGAAATCCAGAATACCTAGATTGACAAGATTAATAATGAACATGGACATCGTTCTCACAAAGGCTGTAAAAAAATTTGTGCAAAACAGGTGTAGTTGGGAACAAAACCTCCAATAGCAGTGCTACTGGAATCTGTAGTACTGATTGGCGTTAACTGAAAAATATTTTTCCCTGTGCTACAAAAAAGCCAATGGGACCAGGAATGGGAAAGCTAACTGAATTAATTTGCGTGCCTACTGTTTCACCATTTCTAATGCCATGGTGCTTGAAATGCTCCCCTTACGTATAGCTGAGTGTGCTTTTTTGGATGCTGTTGATAAGAAACACAACATTTGTCTCTGATGCAAGACACACAGTAGAAATGTTTCAACATTTGTGCACAGCCTATATGGTTTTTGAAGTAAAAATATGTTTTCACATACCTTTAGCTTCCCAACAGTAAAATCACAATGCAAAGCAAACTGAGGAAAGAGCAAAGTTCACATCAAGAGCTTTCCATCGTTCAGTCAAAGGAGCAGAAATACCTTAATATGCTAAGTGTTTCTGAAAAAAGAAAATATGTTTATGGCTGTAGGTCTTCTAAGCAAAACTTACCCCAACAGAAAAATATGTTATCTCTTCTGCAATTCAGCCAACCTGATATCAAACAATGTACCTGGCAATTATTCTAATAAAAAAAGAATCTGCTGAAGTGATGAGATTGTACTACAAAATGGTTACAAACAACGTAGGATTAATTCTGCCACACAAGGTGAGAAAAGGTGGCATTTGGCTGATTTGAGTGCAAACTATGGCTTTGGTTGGCTTGATGTCCATCAACGTAATTGATGGGACTATAGGCAGGACCACCAGTCACTTGAAAATCTGATATTATCTCCAAATACATTATCCAAGGATTTCCAAGGATGTTGGATAGTATCTAACAGTTCCCTGGTATTTTCAATTTGCCACTTTGCTAACAGGACAAGTAGTTAATACACACAACCTCACAAAAACAGTTCTTTGCATTATCCCTTTGGTAAGAGGTGACTGTTGTCCCTGTACATAATAGGAAGATCTTCAGCCACAGACTGAAATGGAGCTTGCCCAACAGTCTCCCATGCATATTTCTGTCGCAATGTTGCATATTACAACTCTGTATTGCATTTTACCAATTTGATTGCTACTTTCAAAAGATCGTGCAAAACCAGTCTCGTTCCAGTTTACTTAGATGTAAGTGGAATATTTGGTGGTTTTAATTACTGATGTCAGCAGATAAAAATATTCACCCCACACCCTTGGAGAATGAATCCTTTTGCTCACTGGCTTTGCACAGAAAATGTAATCCTGGATCAAAGCAAAGGAGAGGCCCTTTGCCACTGGCTTAATGGAAAATTATGAATGGCCACCCCATGATAAAATTCCAAAAATCCTGAAATTAAAAAGGTGTATTGTCCTAAACTGAAGTAGCACAGTCTTGGCTACAGTTAAATAAGAATTTGAGATAAACTTGCATATTTTATTGCAGTCGATAAAAATGGTATCGCCTTGAGGGTCATTTGTTTTCCTCCCCATTAAACCTTTCTGCCAAGATCTCTTGCATCCCCCTGGGTACCTCTTTTGTGGCAAATGAATGACTTTTTTCCTTTCTTTTTTCTTCATAATGAGGTACAGAAAGAAGGGCCCAGCATTTGAAAAGACCAAAAATAAAATAAGACCAGTTCTAGCACTGCCAGGTTATCACAAACAATCAAGAACTTTTTATCTCCCTCATTTTGCCAAGATGAATTAAATAAGTCCACATTTTTGGCAAATTTGAGACCTCAACCACCACAGTCAATTTTTGAGGCTGCGTAAACAAGTTATCGCCACAGGTACTGCATTGCGGCCACAGCCAGAGTAAGTGATAAAAGAAAAGAAGAAGGCCGAAGTATGCTGTTGCTGCTGTTGTGGCTGCTGCTGCCCCCAACACCTTGTCCAGACTGCTTAGGCATGGCGTGTATCTCTGGCAGCCCGGTGCTGATGGTCTTGGACAGTCTTTTGCCACAGACGTCGTCAGGACAGCCGTCACCACTTCCAGAGCCACTGATGTCATCACCTATCCAAGAGGAAGTTCAGAGAACAGTGATGGGTATTAAAAGCACAGTCTTAAGACACACTAATACACATCACATGCTGCAGAATGAAGGGACAAAGAATCAGATATGCAGAGATCTAGCTGACGATACTACTATTTAGTGGCATGTCTTGTTCCCAGTGTTGCCCACAGTGATTACTTGCAAGAAGGCTGCTGAAGGAGGGGTTTAATAGGGGCAAAGGCAAAACCTTTAGGACATGGGCTATGGCACAGCTGGCTAGGAGTCAGTTGCATTTAATCACCACTGACCAAAAGGTCATGAGTTTGAAGCCAGTACCATAAATAGAAGTACCGCAAATAATAAATAAATAAATAAATAAATCTGGTTGTGCACATTATGGTATCCCTAAGAAATGGTGAAAGGTGCTGTAATGCAGTTCCACATGAGAGGCTCTGAATGGTATATTCAATAATGTAGAGCGGGGGTCCTCAAAATTTTAACAGAGGGCCAGGTCACAGTGCCTCAAACTGTTGGAGGGCCAGATTAGAATTTGAAAAAAAAAAAAGAATGAATCCCTATGCACACTGCACACATCTTATTTGTAGTGCAAAAAACCCTCCACTTAAAAACTATACAATAATTAAAATGAAAACAATTTTAGCCAATATAAACTTCAATGGGAAGTGTGGGTGAACAACAGTCCACCATTTCATCCTAAAAACCATGCTCCTCTTATCTGCCCTTTTATAGCTTTTTTGCTGATGAGATAGGATTATTGTTGTGAGTTTTCAAGTTGTTTCACACTTAGGTTGACTCTGAGAGAGGCCCGGGTAAATGACCTTGGAGGACTGTATGCAGCCCTCAGGCCTTAGTTTGAGGATCCCTGAGATCCCTGATGTAGAGTCTTGGCCATTCTCAGCAAATCTGTTTAGAACTCTTCTTATTCTACATGAGGTTATAGAATGGTGAGAGTCTCCAGTCTTGACGATGATCAAAGATCAGAAAAAGGAACAAGACAGCCAACTTGTAAAAGGTACCATTCTCTATTCCAGAAGCAGGCATAGTGCAGCCCTTTGCAAGGCTGTTTTTTCAATACCTGGCCCCTTAGAACTCTGCAGTCTGCCCTTTTTCTGTTGGAAAAAGGTGCCTCTATTAAAAGCCTCAAGGAATGGCAGATCACATTTTAAATATGAATGCAGGGGATCCAATGTATTATGGCAGTGATTCAAAATTTACTCCAGAGGTGTAGCTATAGGGAGCAAAAATCTTCCCAATTAGGTATTCTGTCTCCCACTTCTCTTTCATGAAATTTTCTTTCCCTTGGCAACTTTAAATACCTAAACATTAGTTCTGAATACTCAACTGAAAGTTTCAGTAATTGTAGTGCTAGACATTTGTAGTTGCACCTCTGATTACACCCTGTCTATTAGTCTATTTCAGAGAACAAAGGGCCAGTTACCTGAGCAGTACCTCTTCCCAAAATTAGTTCCCTGAATCCTAAGGATGCTCCTTCCAAAAGAGACAAGAAAAATGCTACAAGAGTGGGAGCACTTTTAAGGGTGGGCTCCTATCTGTGGAGCTTCCTCCTTCAAATGGTTTGTTTGGTATCTTACTTCATGTTTTTATTTGGAGTGCCAAATAAAGACTTTTACATTCTCCTAGGCATTTCAATTGAGCCACTAGTGACACAGTGGGTTAAACTACTGGGCTCCTGAACTTACTGACTGAAAGGTTGGTGGTTCGAATCTGGGAACGGGGTGAGCTCCCACTGTTAGCCCCAGTTTCTGTCAACCTAGCAGTTTGAACACATACAAATGTGAGTAGATGAATAGGTACTACTTCTGTGGGAAGGCCACATGACCTTGGAAGCGTCTATGGACAATGCTGGCTCTTCAGCTTAGAAATGGAGATGAGCACCCCCCCCCCAAGAGTCGGACAGACTAGATTTAATGTCAGGGGAAATCTTTACCTTTACCTTTACTGTATGCCTTTCAATAATTATTTTAATACATGTATTGTCTAAGGCTTTCATGGCTGGAATCACTGGGTTGTTGTAGGTTTTTTGGGCCCTATGACCATGTTCTAGAAGCATTCTCTCTGAGGATGCCTGCCACAGATGCAGGTGAAATGTCAGGAGGGAATACTTCTAGAACATGGCCATACAGCCCAAAAAAACTATTTTAATATGTATTCATATCTGCTGGTTTTATTTTGGTTTCATTTGTTGAAATAAATACAGAGTGCTACGGACATCTTTCTTTCAATGGTGGATTGTATTAAATCGTGACACTTTAGCGACATCACACAAATTCATATTTTCAGCACCATACTTACTTGTATCCTGGAAATCTACATCATTCCCGTTGTACGCATTGCGCAATCGACTTGTCATAATTTTTAACTGCATGATTTGCTGGCGAATAGTCATATCTGGTTTGGTGACATCTACATCCACCTCTGGGTTATTGATTTGACTGGCTAGACCATCTCCCATCACATCGGGAAGATACCTGCAAAGAGCATATGTGTCCATTGTTCTGTGCATTTACATCATTTCTGTCTTATGGCATAATAAGACAATCTTATTATATGGGGAGTTGCTTGGCAAGATTTGTTCACAGGGGGTTTGCCATGCCTCTCTGAGGTCTCGTTCACACACTCATTTAACCCAGAGCATCAAGGCAGAAAATCCCACAGTATCTGATTTGAACTGGCTATCTGAGTCCACACTGCTATATATTCCAGTTCAAAGCAGATAATCTGCGATTTTATTCAGCTGTGTGAAGGGGCCTGAGGTGGAGGAAGTCTGACTTGCCTAAGGCCACCACCCAGTTGGCTTCCATGGCCAAACAGTGATCCAGAGTTGTAGTTCGGCGAACAAACCATAGCAATCACACTAGTTGTCATGTGCATTCATATGGGAAGCCAATTCTGGAATAATAGACCTCACTATCGCTAGTTTAACATACTTTTCTGGTTTGCATACTCTTTCTTCTTTCCCTCTGCTATGGCCACAAGGAGACGGGACACATACATGTTTGCTTGGAAACCCAAGAGATGGATGACTGTTTGATTATCCCCAGATGTTTTTGGCTGAAAGTCCTACCACTGGCTCTCTTGCTTACTGTGATAAGAGAGATCTCAATGCAATGGTGAATCCTGGGGTGGTGATGCCATAATGAGGTTCTATATATGGAACTCTTGTGTGTAAACATATAGGATCTTAATCTAAATTTGTCTAAACATGGATGAAGATAGGATCCCAATGGTATAAAACACTGCTTCATTTTCACTGAGAGTGCCTTTGTTTTACCTTCCATCATGGAATATTACATTTCCAGGCTTCAAAGATTACGGAAGCTGGCATATGAGGGCAGTCAGTCTATATTAAACAGGCTACACTTCTTCATAGGGTCACTGACTCACATGTCAACCAGCCTTACTTGCTTTTGGTCATCCCATTCCAGCACTTGTCTTCATTCACAGAACCAGATGAGATTTTTTCATTGCAAAGTGTAGTTGGAAGGGCGACCCAGAAGTCCCTGATGTCTCTCAACTTTCCTTTGGCATCTGAAACCTGCCAAATAAAGTTGAATTAAAACTCATGGAAGCATTGAATATGGAAGCCTTTCCAGACAAAATCCTGATTTTAATCTAGATGACACAAGTCAACTCTGCGGCAGCTGTTATTGCAGTAAAAAGGATATACTGTATAGGCTTGTGGTGCCTGAATGCTCATCTGTTTTGGTATAGAACAGGAATCAGTTTACCAAACATGCTGTTTTATGAACTGGGTAAATACTACATGGGTTCTGCCAGCACTAATCCAGCTTGAGACTTCCAGGATGCATGTTCTACAGAAGGCACCTGTGAATGTTGCAGTGGAAAGCTCATATTCCATTGAGGTTCACATGGACTTCACACCATGGCTGGTTTATATTCAGTTTATGATCTGGAGCCGCGGTATCGCAATGAGTTTAACCCTTGTGCCAGCTGAACTGCTGACCTGAAGACCTGAAGGTTAGCAGTTCAAATCTACAAGAACGGGGTGAGCTCCCATCTGTCAGCCCCAACTTTTCATGCGGGGACATGAGAGAAGCTTCCTACAGGATGGTAACACATGGATGGCGTTTCCTGGGCAACATCTTTGTAGGCAGCCAATTCCCTCACATCAGAAGCGACTTGCAGTATATTCTCTATTTGCTTCTGACAAAATTTTAAAAAAAAGTTTATGACCAACAATAATTCCAATGTCCTTTGTGCTCAGGAATTTCACATGGTAAAAAGACCTTGAGGTTATAGCTGATCACAGATTGACTATGAACCAGCAGTGTGATGCTGGAGCAATAAATATGAATATTATTTTAGCCTGTGTTAATAGAAGCAGAGTTTTCAAATTCAGGGACTTAATAGTCCCACTAAATGCTGTACTTGTTGGACCCCATTTGGGTTACTGCATTCAATACTGAGCACCTCATTTTAAGGATATAGACAAGGATATGAGCCAACAATGACATGCGGCAGCTAAAAAAGCCAATGGGATTTTGGCCTCCATAAATAGAAGCATAGTGTCTAGATCCAGGGAAGTCATGTTACCCCTCTATTCTGCTTTAGTCAGACCACACCTGGAACACTGTGTCCAATTCTGGGCACCACAATTGAAGGAAGATGTTGACAAGCTGGAATGTGTCCAGAGGATTGCGACTGAAATGATCAAGGGTCTGGAGAACAAGCCCTATGAGGAGGAGCTTAAAGAAGTGGAAATGTTTAGCCTCAAGAAGAGAAAGCTGAGAGGAGACATGAAGGGCAGTCATAGGGAGGAGGCAGCAGGCTTGTTTTCTACTGCCTTGGAGACTAGGATGTGGAGCAATGGCTTCAAATTACAGGAAAGAAGACTCCACCTGAACGTTAGGAAGAACTTCCTAAGTGTGAGAGCTGTTCAGGAGTGGAACTCTCTGCCTTGGAGTGTGGTGGATGCTCCTTCTTTGGAGGCTTTTAAGAAGTGTTTGGATGGCTACCTATCGTGGGTGCTTTGAATGGGATTTTCCTGCTTCTTGGCAGGGGGTTGGACTGGATAGGTCTCTTCCAACTGCTATGATTCTATGACAAGTTGGAACAAGTTCAGAGAAGGGTAACAAGGATGATCAGAGGCACAGAGAATAAAACATATGAGGAAAAGCCAAAGGATTTGGACATGTTCAGCTTGTAAAGTGAAGACTGAAGGGGTGTCATGATTGCATTCTTTAAATAATTCAAGGGCTGTCACAGAGAGAAAGGGAGGCAGAATTGTTCTTTGCTGCCCCAGAGGGTAGGGCCAGCTTTCAGGAGGGTCAATTTTTGCTGAACAGTTCTTCCTGTCAAGAAGTTCCTTCTAATATTTAATCGAAGGAACTTCTTGGCAGGGGGTTGGACTGGATGGCCCACGAGGCCTCTTCCAACTCTATGATTCTGTGATTGTTCAGCAGATTGAGTTGAAGCTACTCAGATGCCTTTGGGCCAGCTGCCCAGCCCACTGAACAAGGTTGCTATGAGGACAAAATAATGATGAGAGCATTGGTCTGGGCTTCTTGGATAAAGGACAGGATCAAAATCCACCCAATAAATACTGCTGTTGAGTCTTAAAGCAAAGCCTGTATGTTTTCAGCAGACTCAACAAGCTGTCTAAACAATGAACCACACAAATTGTTCTAAAAAAACCCTTTGAAGACAGACATTTTATACTCACAAGTTTTTCTGAGCTAAGCTGCGAAGGTTTATCTTCACTGACATATTTTCCCCGCTTCTTTTTATCTTCAATGTTGGAAGCTTTAGGGTTGATTTTAGGATTTCCACAGCCTTGAAAGGTCTGAGGGGAAAAACAAATCTTAGGAAGCAGCATGTTTCTCTAATACATCATAGCAATACAACATTTTCTCTGAGCCCCCGGTGGCGCACCGGCAGGACTGAAGAACGACAGGTCGCAGGTTCGAATCCGAGGATAGCGCGGATGAGCTCCCTCTCTCAACTTCGGGTCCCCATACGGTGACATGAGAGAAGCCTCCCACAAGGATGGTAAAACATCAAAACATCCAGGCATCTCCTGGCCAAAGTCCTTGCAGATGGCCAATGCTCTCACATCAGAAGCAACTTGCAGTTTCTCAAGTTGCTCCTGACACACACACAAAAAAAGATCTCTAGCTTTGCAATGTTTACACTACAATTCCCACATTCTTCAGTCAGAATTATGGAACTTGCAGTCCAGTGCCATGTCATGATATGCTTTTGGCCCAAGTTGAGGGTGCTTTGAATGTGATTTTCCTGCTTCTTGATGGGGGTTGGACTGGATGACTCACAAGGTCTCTTCCTACTCAATGATTCTGTGATTCTAAGTAAAGTCAAAATACAAGGTTTGCTATTAACCCATGGTTTTAGGTGTCCATGGGAGGTCTTGGAACATATCTCCTTGTTACAGGGATCATACTGTACTTGAAAGATGATTAAAACCAGGCAATATAAAATGAGTTTTGTCTATACAGGGCTTCTCAACTAGAGTTTCCTGGCATCCTAGGGCCCCAAAAGGGATCTTGCTAGAAAAAAAACCCCCACATTTTTTTCTCAGCTGTAGATGTAGTGGCTTGATTCCTGTAGGGCCTTTACATATGGGTAACAACCACAGTTATGGTAATACGTAATGAACTCTAACACCCAACACCCCCCCCATTTTCTTGTTGCTCAGGAAGCAGCTGCCTGCAATTTCCACCTCTTTTAATGAATGCTCATTATTATGGCATGCAGAAAAACATTCCTCCTACTACTGGAAATACTTTGCATGAGGGAGCATGGGAATGGCAGCCAGTTGGTTCCCAAGTAATAGGCAAATACAGCCCTGTCAATTCCAGTGGCTGCTTCCTGGAAGGTGAAGACTGAAGGATCATGAATACATAGCAGTAATTATAATACAGACCAACAGTTTTGACAAAGGAGTTCCCTAAGACCAGAACATTGATTCAAGGAGCAGAAAGGTTGCGAAAAGCTGCTTTAAATGGGTTGTTGTAGGTTTTTCAGGCTGTATGGCCATGTTCTAGAAGCATTCTCTCCTCACATTTTGCCTGTATCTGTGGCAGGCATCCTCATAGGATGTGAGGTCTCACAACTTCTGAGGATGCTTGCCATAGATGCAGGCAAAATGTCAGGAGAGAATGCTTCTAGAACATAGCCATATAGCCCGAAAAACCTACAACAACCCAGTGATTCTAGCCATGAAAACCTTCGACAAAACACTGCTTTAAATGTTTTACAGAAGCTTCTCAAATATCTTGTTGGTTGTGTTCAGAAGTTGATGCTCCACTGGTATGCATGCCTGAATGTAGCCCCAACATTTTGGATGGGCCTGCCCTTAACTCATCATTGCAACAGATAATAATATAGCTGGTTCACTTTGGAACAGACTTATCTTGCCCTCATAAAACAGTGAAGGTATCACCTATGGTGTACTTTGGTCCTTATCAATCATTGGCACAGCAAGAGAGAGAGAGTCCAGTGTCTTTTTAGCCATTCCTTCTTAATAATCATACATAAAATATTCTGGTTTTGTTTTATGAAGAAGAATGGCTCCAGTTCTTTTCACTGTAGCACACCTGCTTTATAGCTTATTACAGTAGTTATTATTACAAGTCATTTCTTCCAGGGGTATAAAGAACTTGCAAGAACAATGAAAAATACCTTCTGAGAGGTAGAGATTAATTCACTCCCTTGTGCTCTCTCGGAATTGATGGCTCTATTTCTGTATTGTATTCGTGCTATATTTTCAGGGTTACTGCTGTATTACTTCTCTCTCATCCCCACCCCTCTTTCTCCCTCCAGGCCTATCAATGACTTATCTATTTGCCAGTCAGTTCCTGATTCATTCTCCATCAACATCTTTTGGTTGCAAATTTCAGGAAACAAGAGAAAAAGAGCTGAGCTTCAGAACACAAATTATTCTTTGTTACTATCACTCTTAGCTGTATAGGGAACTGCACAGTTATATAGGGAACCCATAGGGCCAAAGTGTCACATTCTGTTCAGAACTGTTGTTGAAAATCTTTTGACATGAAGGGTTGAGAGAAAGACAGGTGAAATTCTTAGAAGTTGTCACAGTTTCAATATTAGAAGGGAGAAAGGTTCTGGAAAAGATGTACGAATAAAAGAAGATGAGGTTGCTTTTCAGCCAGTGGAAAAAGACCAATTCCACCGGTCTTCTACTAAAAATGGGGCAACCAATATGTAACCCTATCAACAAAAGTTATTGGATACCCATCACTGTAGCTTAGGGAGCAATAAAACTGACATGCACAAAAAACTCGTGTAGGAGAGATGGGAATTGTGCAGCTTTCCAAAAGTGTCCAGAGTATAATCCCCAGTAGCTATATCCATCATATCCAATGGTGGAGAGTTGAAGATTGCAAGCCAATGACACTTTGGAGAGTTGTATGATGCTCAGCCCAATCATACAATGTGGATAAAAGAATACGATACAACAGCAAAGCTGAATTAATCAGGATTGGGCTTGGAGTGTGTCTGGTTGGGAGACAGCTTGGGGCCATCCCAGGTAGCCATCTCAAGTTCTATAAAAATAAATACAATTAAATCAGGATAGATGTTAGGCTTACCACAACCTGACTCTTACCTTTGCTGTTATTGAGTCTCTGTTCTCTTGCATGTTAGAAATGGCTTCTGCAAGCCTGGTGTGAATTGTACCAATGACTATGTCTACATTGGATGGTCCATCAAAACGGTCAGCTACCATGAGCAGTGCATCTAACAGAGTAGATAACAAATAGGGATTGTTTAACAATATATAATGGAAATCATGTATTAAAAATTGATTAAATAATATTACAAACAATAGCAGACCTACAAGAGATGTCAATAGGCTATTTCATGTATAGTATGACTACCATATCTGTAGGGGATACATTCCAAGACACCCCAAGAGTAGCTGAAAATGCAGATAACAGTGAATACTATATTTTGATGGTACTTGGGCTGGAAACATACCACAGACTCAAGATGGAGGACCCTGAGAGGCCCACAAACAGTTACATAGGGAATATTGTTTTCAGTGTGGGTAGTGAAACCATGGACACCAGCTTTGTGGATATAGGGATTGTAATGTACTCATTTACATTAAGGAACAAAATCTACTAATTTGTTTATTTGTTTATTTATTTATCAGGAGAGACTATAGTAATACTTACATAAATATAAATGCCATTTGGTTTATAGTAGAAAGTGTACTAAAATATTTATTATAAATACTTACATCCAGACTTGTGAAAGCTTTGCTAGGATGACTATGGATCATCATACAGAATTCAGTCTATGGAGTTACAGCATTATATACATCCAAGGGGAATACTTTGTAAAAATGTAATGTACTCCTCTTCATGGTTGAATCAATGACACCCATGCTCTCAGAGAATCCCTAACCTAAATATAGTTCATGCATAGTCACATGCAATTATCATTACATGGTGGGTCTCCCATACAGATGCAAACTGATAGAGATGGCAGCCCCATAGGTCCAACATGTTACAAGTCAGACTTCGTGCTATCATGCTATTATATTGAAAACATAGTGGTGCTTTTTCAGGGGGATAGGGTTTCTTGCAAAATTTTATTTTCAAAATCTTTCTCAACAAAACTAAGCAACAACAGCATGCTTTACAAAAGCAGCTGAAATCTGAGGGCTTTTTAAAAAAATCGTGTCAGGAGCGACTTGAGAAACTGCAAGTCGCTTCTGGTATGAGAGAATTGGCCATCTGCAAGGATGTTGCCCAGGGGACGCCCGGATGATTTGATGTTTTTATCATCCTTGTGGGAGGCTTCTCTCATGTCCCCGCATGAGGAGCTGGAGCTGATAGAGGGAGCTCATCCGCCTCTCCCCGGATTCGAACCTGCGACCTGTTGGTCTTCAGTCCTGCTGGCACAGGGGTTTAACCCACTGTGCCACCGGGGTCTCCTTATCTGAGGGCTGAATGGATAACAATGTCATCTGTCAAGGCTTTAAAACCATGCCCACTGTTCTAAAATCACAAGGTAATTACAAGGAAATATTGCAAAGCCTTTTTCTTCCTTGATAACCTCAGCAAGTATTTAGTTCACTTTGTGGACCAATATTAGTCCTCCATGAACTTCTGTAAAAGGGCAGATACTTAAAGAGTTCATAAGAGAAAAAAGGGAGGCACAGCTCCTAAATGTTATTCAATTTAAGTCAGTTTTCACTAGAAAATTAGTTAATTAACTTAAGCATGGGAGGGTTTTCAGTGGTCCAGCTTTCAACTAAAGGGCACCCATCCTCCTTTAATCATCACCCCAAAGCTAGGTTTTTTAGCCCTCCCCCACAAACAGAGGGAAATGTAGTGATCACTAAGAGCTACAGACCCATCACAGCTCAGTATTAAATCAGGCTGTTCCAAAGCCAGCTCTGAAATTCTTCAGTGCTTAAAAGCATCCATTCTAAGAATGTGGGAGGCTGTAATGGAAGTTTGTACTTAGTCCTAACTCCAAAGCAATGACGGGAAGCATCTGGGCTTCCTGTGGAGGTTTTATCCTGGATGTTAAAGAAGCTACCCATTGTGCTGAATTTATTTGGGAAATACAATGCAACACTTTGCAGTTGTTTTTAAAACTCTGACATATATCTGGAGGATTCCTGGCCACATTGACATAAGGACATACCACATACAGTAGTAGCGCACCAGATAGTGAGATATTGCAGTTGCCAATCTTCCTCATTCCTGGCTCACTACTTCCTCACTACTCTGTTGAGTAGTGCTGATGGGAGTTGAATTCCAATAACGCTTGAAAGACCACAAGCCTCTAGTCCAGTGGCTCTCACCCTGTGGATCCCCAGATGCTTTGCCTTCAACTCCCAGAAAGTCTAACAGCTGGTAAACAAGCAGGGATTTCTGAGAGTTGGGGACAAAACAGCTGGGGACCCACAGGTTGAGAACCACTGCTCTAGTCCAGGAATGCTTTGAAGGCCATATCCATACACTATGGATGACGTGGCCATTTAAAAGGCACACAAATTGACAGTGGGGGAATCCTGCACAGGGAGCTGTAAGTCTGGCACCTATGCCTGTCTCATTGTGCTCCCTTGGCCCCACTTTTAAACAATGCAGCACCTCTGCCACAAAGCCATGGTCAGGAGCAGGAGAACCTACAGAGACATGTCCAGGACTTCTCCTATAGCTGAATGTAGCTACAATATGCATCTAAAGGGATCTCTATGGGTTCTTGGGAGGTTCAGCAGATTACGTCCTTGTAACACATTGAGCTCCATGAAAATAGCTAGATCTCTTTCTGATGATCCTCCATCTCCAATAATAATAATAATAATAATAATAATAATAATAATAATAATAATAATAATAATAATAATAATACAATAACAATAACAATAATCTTTATTTATGCCCCACCACGATCTCCCCAAAGGGGACTTGGGGCAGCTAACATGAGGTCAATACAACAAAATAAAATACAAAGCAACAAAAATACAAAGCAACGAAAAATCACATCAAAATAAAATAAAATATGTAAAGTAATAAAATAAAATCAGCAGTTCCAAAATAATATAATGAAAAAAATAAAACCACAATGGGCAGGCCAGGTGCACAAGATAAAAATGATAAAACCCTAGATGAGATAGTAGTGAAAAGTGTATTTGTGAGGGAGGAGCTCATAAGGGACGAACAGTGGGGTTAGGTCTTAATTAAGGGCGGGGGGAAAGTGCATCATGAGGACGAAACTGTAGATGGAACAGACAGAAATGTGATATATGGTGACTCTCCTAAAGGCACATCGGAAGAGCCAAGTAGGATTGGGTGAAGATCTTGGTCATTGTGTTGCTGGCAAAGAATTCCAATCTCCCCAAAATAACCAAAATTTGAGTTGTGGAGATGTAAGACTGACTTATGCCATCAAATTTAGCAAAGAGGATTCTGAATATATCGATCAATTTCTCTGCATGGTCTCTCAACTGCTGCCTTGATCAAAAGGTGGGACATGCACTATATGAACAATCAAAGCAAGAGTGAAAAGCATTTGAAAGTCAGTTGCCTGCACCTCTTACCTATTAGGTTCTTCCATTCAGGGTCAAGGTCTGCTTGGTTGGCCACACAGCCTTTCAAGACATTGCGGCAGTAGCTGTTACATGGTTTGACATTCGACATACCACGACAATGGGCACAATACATCAGCTTCATGATGGCCCGGCTGCAATACTGGCTCAGTGGGACCTTTAAAAAAAGGGATTTCTTACGTCAATGTTCTTTTTCTTAATAGACAAAAACAAAGATGCTTCACAATACAAAACATAGAATAAATGAGAAAAGAGCTCTGAAAATGATAAAGGGTGTGAATGGGGAGCAGAGTAGACCATGTGGACTATTTTACAGATGGTTAAACTTGTTAAGCAGAGAAATAAATGGTTGATTCAGTGTAGAAAATCCAGAGATGAGCCCCATTTATTACAAATTTAAGTCCATTTTTGGATGTGAGACACACCAAAAAATAAATGTGAGTTTAACCTTCATATATTTGATTATTCACAAATTATTTTCTCTTTTCTTCACTGCTGCTCCATGTCTTTTTAAAAACGGACTTCTATAACACCGGTGTTCATGTTGAGGTGTGCTCAATTAAGTAAAATCTTTGATTGCTGGGAAGAAATCAAACTGCTGGGCGTACCTGGACCCAATCTTGTGGTTATTCTCTCCATTTCTCACTTGGATGGGTAGTGGGAAGGTGATGATTTACTAAAATTTCCTATCATTCCCTCAATGTATTTATCATTAAAGAAGCTCTTGAGAACATAAGTGAATCCTAATAAGAGTCATTGGCCACGTTGTTGTTGTTGTTGTTGTTGTTCATAGTTGCCAAGTCTGCTTTGACTTAAAGCAGCCCTATGAATGAGAGACCTCCAAGTCACCCTATCTACAACAGCCCTGCAGAGTTCTTAAAGACTCAGGACTATTTCCTTCTTGATAGAGTCTTATCTCTAATGCAGTTTTCCTCTTCCTACTTTTCCCCATTTTACCAAATATTGTTGTATTTTCTAATAAATTTTGCTGTCTCATAATATAGCCAAATTATGACAATTTCAGTTTAGTCATAGTGACTTCCAAAACAATTTGCTTTGTTAGAAGCCAAACTCTTTTGTAGGGTTTTGAAGACTTGGATGTTTAAACAAGCCCTGGAGAATGTCTAGCCCCAATGGCCCGCAATTAATGACATGGCACTGCACTTTCATCTCATGCCCTTGTTCCTTAGCTACAATTTGCATTATCCCATTCCCTTGTTTTGTTTACAATTTGGCTATGTCTTACAGCAGTTGCCACCATAGGTTATTGGGCGTTGGTTTGAGTTTTAAATTGTTGTTTTATGTACTATTGGTTTTATTGTATTGTGTGTTTATTTTATGTGTTGTTTTTAGGCTTCTTGTGTCATGTGTAAGCCATATGAGTACCTTTGGGGAGATGGAGGCGGGGTATAAAAATAAAGTTGTTGTTTGTTGTTGTTGTTGTTGTTGTTATTATTATTATTATTATTATTAGTTTGGGAATTCTGGGGACTGCTGTAATGGTAACTATCCTACGATGGCATTAAACTTATGCCACTTGGAAAGGAATACAAACACATTTGGACAAGAAGCCACACTGTTTGTAGAAGGTTGTACAAGTAGATACTCTTCCACTGAGTAAATGTACCATTGATTCTTAAAGATCCTAACTATAAGCTATACATGGTTGTACAACAGGGATCACTGGCTTGAGGTTTCCATTTCATGATTGTTTTTAAAACACCACAATCCAATACAACTGTACAAGTGGATATTTCTGCTATTCAAATATTGAACAAATTACCAAAGCTAACCTTCCCAATCTACAGTGTCAATGAATACTGAGAATGTTTGATAAGTAAGAAAAGTTATGGAAAATGTGGGTTTGATATTAGCAATATTAGCAATTACTAGGAAGGTAAAGGTAAATGTAAAGGTTTTCCCTTGTCATTAAGTCTCATAATGTCCAACTTTGGGGGGTAGTGCTCATCTCCATTTCTAAGCCAAAGATCTGGAGTTGTCTGTAGACACCTCCAAGGTCATGTGGCCAGCATGACTGCATGGAGTGCCATTACCTTCCCGCTGAAGCAGTACCTACTAATCTACTCACATTTGCATGTTTTCGAACTTCTAGGTTGGCAGAAGCTGGGGCAACAGTGGGAGCTCACCCCGTTTCAAACCACCAACCTGTTGGTCAGCAATTTCAGCAGCTCAGCAGTTTGACCCACTGTGCCACCAGGGGCTCCTGATTATTAGGAAACGTACTGAAAATAAAACTGCCAATAATGTAATGGCCTTATATAATTAATGACACAGTAACACACGAAATACTGTAGCAATAGTCCACACTTCTTTCATACCAGTCACTTCATCTCACCAATCGGAAGAACTGGAGAGACAGCAATGTACATTATCGAATAAATCACTGAGATATGTCATTTACTTTACAGGAAAGACTGAAGCATTTTCCTCTATAAGGAATAGCAACTAAGTTCTTTTCAAGGAGGGCATGATGGAGGTTTGTAGAATTGTGAATGGTACATAGACATTGGGCACAGAGATTATCTTCATCTACAACATCAGGTTGAGGACAATTGGAATGAAATATCAAGGAAGATAAAGTGCTTCATCACCTAGCACTATACAAGTATTTATAGCAGTGGTTCTCAACCTGGGGTCCCCAGATGTTTTTGACCTACAACTCCCAGAAATCCTAGCCAGTTTACCAGCTGTTAGGATTTCTGGGAGTTGTAGGCCAAAACACCTGGGGACCCAGAGGTTGAGAACCACTGATTTATAGAATAGACAACTGCATGATGTGCTGGTAGACATCTTAAATGGCTTTGAAAGATGATTTGACAGACTCATGGAAAGTAGTACTCATAATAGTTATACGAGTCCCCCATGTCCATAATCAGTATTCTGCAAAAGGTCAGGTAGTGGAATTACAGTTTCGATTTTTTTAAAATTCCAACCACCAGAATAGCCTTGCCATATGTCTAGTGACCATGCTGACTGTAAGAGTCTTGGAGATGTGGTGCAAAGAGCAAGACAATGTCAGGAATGGACAATGGCCTTGATATCTGTTTGTCAACTTCTCAGAAAAACAGGGGATTTTATGTATACCCTCTGGTGTGCACAGGGTCCCCAGTCCAGCCACATTTAGTTGGACCATGGCAGAAGACTCTACCCACTTCTACTTCATTTTATCTAAATCCTTACAGTCCACTTTGGTTGTCACTGGGTGGCGCTTTAGTTCTGCTGCAAACAGCAAGGCAATCCAAAGGTGCATGTTTCAAGAAGAAAAATCTAATCAGCCAAACAAACAAAAACATCCACATGTACCAACAAATCTGTACCCACTTCATTACTACATGAAAACAGAAAAACCCATTAAAAGTGTTGTTTAACATGCAAGATACTAATTAAACTCCCAAGGATGATTAATAATCATTACAATGTGAAGGAATCCCAGAACGTCTTCCGCCCTTCCAGAAGAACAGTGGACATGGTCTTCACTGCACGATAGCTCCAAGAAAATGCAGGAAACAAAATCAACCTCTGTACATGGCATTCATTGACCTTGCAAAGGCATTCGACACAGTGAATCACAGTGCTTTCTGGACCATCCTTCAAAAAATTGGATGCCCTGACAAATTTGTTAACTCCTGCGGCTCCTCCATGATGACATGATGGCAACAGTCTTGGATGCCAATGGCTCCCAAAGTGATCCATTTAAGGTGGAATCAGGTGTCAAACAGGGATGTGTTATTGCTCCAAACTTATTTTCCATCTTCATTGCTGTGATACTTCATCTTGTTGATGGGAAGCTTCCCGCCAAAGTGGAAATAATATATCGGACACATGGCAAGCTATTTAACCTCAGCAGACAGAAAGCCAAAACCAAGGTTACAGCAACATCTGTAGGGAACTCCAATATGCTGATGGGAATGTAGTATGTGCACATTCAGAAGAAGACCTACAAGCCACTCTAAACACCTTTGCAGAAGCACATGAGAAGCTCAGCCAGTCATTGAACATCCAGAAAACCAAAGTGCTCTTCCAGCAGCCACCAGCCAATCCCTGTGCAATGCCAGAAACAGAGCTTAATTGTGTAATATTAGAAAATGTTGAGCATTTCTGCTACCTTGGCAGCTACCTCTCCACAAAAGTAAACATTGACACTGAAATATAACACTGCCTGAGCTCTGAGAATGTAGCATTTTCCCGAATGAAGCAGAGAGTATTTGAGGACCAGGTCATCTGTAGGGATACCAAGGTGCTTGTTTATAAAGCTATTGTCCTCTCAACCCTGCTATACACCTGCGAAACATGGACTGTCTATAGATGTCACACTCAATTCCTGGAATGATTCCAAGAGCGTTGCCTCTGAAAAATCCAGCAAATTTACTGGGAAGAAAGGCAGACAAATGTTAGCATGCTGGAAGAAGGAAAAACCATCAGTATTGAAGTGATCCTCCTATGCCATCAACTTTGCTGGACTGGTCACATTGTACTAATGCCCGATCACCATCTCCCAAAGCAGTTACTATATTCCCAACTCAAGTACGGAAAACGGAATGTTGATGGACAGGAAAAGAGGTTTAAAGATGGGCTTAAAGCCAACCTTAAAAACTGTGGCATAGACACCAAGAACTGGGAAGCCCTAACCCCTGAACGCTCTAACTGGAGGCCAGCTGTGACCAGCAGTGCTTCAGAATTCAAAGAGGCATGAATGGAGGGCGAAAGGGAGGAAGGCGCATCAAGTCAACACTACCTTCCACCTGGAAACCAATTTCCTCACTGCGGGAGAATATGTGGATCAAGAATAGGGCTCCACAGCCACTTATGGACCCACCGCCAAGATACTACACTTGGAGAACCATCATCCTCAAGCTACGAGGGATTGCCTAAGTAAGTAAGTAAGCAAGCAAGTAAGTAAGTAATTGTGGCCCATGCGTGTTTGTTCCAGGGGAGTTGTTGCTCGAAAACTTTGTGCAACTAGTAAAAGATGGTTCATAATATGCTTTCTATTTGGGTTACCAAAGCTAAGATGTGCTCTAATATCACCACAGTTACCACAGTTTGCAATCATAGTTTTAGAGCAACCCCATTCAGAACAAGATGAACTGACCTTCAGCTTATTTGCAAGCATCTAGTCTCTATATAACAAAGTTA